ATATATATATATATATATATATATATATATATATATATATATATATATATATATATATATATATATATATATATATATATATATATATATATATATATATATATATATATATATATATATATATATATATATATATATATATATATATATATATATATATATATATATATATATATATATATATATATATATATATATATATATATATATATATATATATATATATATATATATATATATATATATATATATATATATATATATATATATATAAATCTATACATGTACAGAAATATACGAACCAGTACACTTTATTATTCCTAACTGGTAAACCCCGTACAGGTGAAGGTAATGTGCCCCCGTCACTCACACAATCTTCCGATAAAAGTACAGTACCTCGCATTCCATCTACACTTATTTCAATTTCCTTATTGTATCCTAAGCGATTTGTATATAAACCCTTTACAAAACTATAGCCACTGTTTTCTGTACCAACATACAATCTGTCGTCACCGCGAATGTTCCTTTTTTCTAAAAATAGAAATAGAGATTAATTCACACATAAGACTCGTAAGTTTTGTTTAAAAAGTGTTTAACCCCCACCCTCTCCTCTCCTTCTCTCTGCAAGCGCGTACAATATTTCCCATATAAATCTATTTATGTAATCTTTATCAAGATAAATAATTAATGAAAAATATATTAAATCAAAGTTAATTTCAAAAGCGATATACACTAAAACAAAGTTACTCAGAGATTATACCCTCTGTCGGACAATTTTAATATACTTCTTTAGATAAACACTAGTTTTGAAGATAATTTGTGAGCACACTATATATATTCATTTTAAAAATAATTTTATCACTTACTTTCTGCTTCTGTCAAACTATCGTAATATGGCACTAAAGCCTTGAATAATCTTTTTTCGTCAACGAATGGAAGTAAAGCCACACCTTGCCAAGCAAATTTCTTTCCATTCAAGTCAATTTTAAAATCTTCTGGATAAAAGTCAATAATCTGAGATCTCTGTAAATAAATATTATTAAATTTAAAAAAATGCATTAAAAAAAAAAAAAAAAGAAAAATAGATTTCGTGAAGTTACGGCAGTAACGCAGTTTATGGTTTTATGCAAAAAAGATTATTCTAATTAAATTGTCTAAAAAGCAAATTTATTAGAAGCATTAGCGTTACTTCTCTTGATTTAATAGTATATAATAACTATATGTTTAAAAATTTTATTGTATTAAAATATATTCAATTACTATAATGTTCTTTTCATATTTGCTTTTGATATTATTTGATAGGAGAGAATATTCAAAAGAATAAATATAATATTTTTTGATAAATTGTTTTTCTTCACAAAGATGACAACCAGCTTCTTTAACAGTAGTTGTTAGTGCTACACCTTTTAATCGATCGTAAAAAATAGTATATTGTACCACATAAAACTGTCACTATTTAATTAAAATAGAAACGCTGTATTTTAGAAAAAAACAAAAAGTTTTATTCAATCAAAATATGTATAGTATTATTAGTATTAATAGTTTTCTCACAAAGAAATTAAATAATATATTTCATTTTCATAAAATGTTTTAATTTAAATACACATGATAAAGCATTCATATTCTTTTGTCAAAGATAACAAAAGAAATAATAATAACCAAAAATAAATCTATAATCAACAAAAATTGAAGAAAACAATACTATTATAAAAATTTTGCAATAGTATCCGAAGTACTATCCGAAATATACTTTACTTCATCTTTACTAATCAGGATCAATTTTTAACTTGATCGAAAAATAAGATAGAAGATCAACAATTTTATGTGGTACAATCCAACGTAATAGTATCATTCTTTTTTTCCCTTCTGCCGATTACAATATAAATATACGTACTGGATCAGACATTAACTTTGCCCATGGTACAGGTACATGTTTACAACTAGCAGCGGGAAATACACCCATCAATTGCTCTAACGGACGAAACTGCAAGAAAAATGATATTAAATTATAGTGATTATAGTACATTTTAAAACTGTATACTGTTTATAAAGTGCATGTACATTTTACAAAATGTTTATTATACTTACTGGTACAGTGCCCTTTTCAAATTCTGTAGAAAGACCACCGATATTAATGAAATCACTTGCAAACGGCGCATAATGATATGGAAAATACCATCTCCATGACGCACAACCTTGATAATAATATCGTAAGACCCAACATAAGCCTCGTACATATTGTAAAGCAACATTATTTCTATAAACAAACAAGTATAAGAAATATTTACATATAAAGGATCAAATATAATTACTTTATATTTATCAAATAAAACATGTTTATATAAAAATTATCCTATTTCAATAATACTTAATTCTGTGTAGAAATAAATCTGTTATTATTACACATTAATGTGTAGTTATAATATTATAATTATAACAAAAGAACTTCAAAAATTAGGTACCTAATAATATTTGTGCAGTTTTTTATAACTTCACATTTAATGAGACCTTACGTCTTGATAGTAATTATCAACATATAAATAAAAACAAGATTTTACAGCAATTTAAGTAACCTAACTTACTGAATTCTTTTATATTTATAATTAAATAGATTGTTTTAATAGTTGCTGTCGAGATAAATTAAAAACAATATAAATTTAATAATACAAAACCGTTAATGATAATTTCTATATGCTTAAAAGCATAAAAATATTATTATATATATATAACTTTTCAACGTTTGGAGTCGATTTTTTCGTAAACGATTCTATAAAGAATAGTTTATTTTAATAAATAAGAATATTAGGCTCGTTATAATAATAAATTAACAATATATTATAAGAGAATAACAAGCCGGGCTAGATTTTATTGCTTATTACAAATAAAAATAATAAAATGAAAAAATTATACAATAAATATACGTTTTGATATTTTTGAAGATGGTCAGAATTTGACCATCTTCAGTGAAACTTATACTGATAATTATAAGTACCAATAGAATATTATAACATCTCTCACTTAGGCCCTGTGTACAATAGAAAAAATATTAGGAATAGGAACAAATATTAAATATTAGGAATAGAACATTGGAATTATTTCATTTCAGAATAAGAAAATGAAATGTATTAACGTATCATGAATTAAAAATTAAGAATTAGGAACAACTAATACATTTTGTTCCTTTGTTTGAAGTAAAATAATTCCAAATTCTTCTTTCTAATTTTTAATATTTATTCCTATTCCTAATATTTTCTCTATTGTGCGCAGGGCCTTATAGTATATAATACTGATAGTATTATAACGCCTCTCACAGTAGCCAGTTTCCGCCAAACTGTCAATATTAGCAATTAAACTGCTAAGATTATTAACTCTTCACGTCATAGATTCACAATTTCACAGATAAGCTCTTTTCAACACAATACAATTTTTAATTTAAGGTAATAATATTGTTATTAGTGTAAGTTTTTATTTGTTTTTTTTTATAGTCTTCTTATGTTATAACCTCGAATGCTTAATATTCTGGACATTCTATTGGTATTTTTGCCAACATAAGTTTTACTAAAGATGGCCAAATGTTGACCAAAAACGTATATTCTGTTCAAAGCGCTGCTCAATATTCTCTAATAATATATAGTTA